AATATAATAAAATGTTAGGAAAATGTTTTAAAATAATTAAAGTAATTTCTTAAATGAAGAGAACTTAGTCTAAGAATGGGAAATTTAAAACAATGACAAATTTCCAATTTCCTCACACTATTGACAATTCCAATACACTATAAAGGGTGATTGCTTATAAGTTTAAAATGGCAAATGCAAACACTTTGTTTACATTGGCATTAAATGATGTCTAAAATGTTAACTGAATATAGGATTATTTTATTCGTAAAAAGGTATAAGTATAGTGAATCAAATTATATCAGCCTTTAAAAATATGGTTAATATTATTCTTATTGGATCATGTTTGCAACCTCCAGCTTAATGAAACTAATTCTAAGAAGGGAAACAGTTCATAAAAAATTCAATAATAATAATTGTAAAGGATTACAAAATGTAGTTATATTGTTAATTAATAATGTACAAATATGTTTGCAAACTTCTATTGTTATGGGATAATTGCATTTTAACATATTTTTATAAATAAAAATAACTTTGAATTTGAAATATCCAACTTAACATATTCAGACAATACTTGTATTAATATAACATTGCCTTAACAGTGTTAAAGCAAATATATTATTGTTCTGTGTTAAGTATTGTATGTACAGTAGAGCATCGATTATCCGACTCAATTGGGGACTCAGGTTGGTCGGATAACTGAAAAATCAGATAACTGAAAAAAATACATTATTAGTATAGTATATTAGTATATCCCATGTAATTAGTTTATTAGTACAGTAGACCCCCCTATAACACTTAGATACATTCCACGTTAATCGAATTTTACGTTGTAGGAATCATTAAATACATGAGCCAATCACAGCCCGACAGGTGTGAAGTTTACGGACTAAGGCTGTTTGAAAGGTTTTCTTCTATGAAATTAACCGATTTTAGACTAATTCCACTCAACATTTCCAAAACACGTATAATTTTTTGGGAATAATCCGTATAAACTATGCTATAAACAAAAAATTATAGGATTACTTACCGAGTGTGCACCGTTCGACTACGCCCGTTGCTAAAGCTTGTTTTCGTCGCGGAACAGCGCATCAAACGGCGGCCGCGATTTCTGATATTATTTTTCTGCGAAAACTTCGTTGACCTTTGGAGACGTAATTAATATAAATAATTTTTATGGCCGTTGAATAAGAAATGTTTCTTTCACAAGAAACGTATAAAATTACAGTGCTATATTAGACTTACGGTACCTAATTTACATACTCTGCAGACGATAGCTAGCCTAAACTCTCCACTAGACTCTAGCCTAAACCTTAGCGCTACTAGACGGCGAAAAATATATATATAATTATAATAAAGTTACAATAAATTAAGTTAATATATAATTATATATAAAGTACCTAATTTATATATAATTTATATATAATTATATGTACAGTACCTAATTTATATATAATACTGTACAGACAATAGCAAACTCAATTTAGCCGCTTAAACTCTCCATAGTGTGGCGCAGGGCGGAGGAAAGTAGTTCGGCTGCTCATCCACTATTGGTCCAGATTCTATCAATCTTGTCACGACACAAGTCGGCGACGACATTTTAGGAGTTCCTCTATACGAATATTGCTACAATTTTTTCGCTACGTTATAAGAATTTCCGTTATAGGGGGGTTGACTGTATATCGCTATTAACCAACTTCGCATTGAATTTTCATCAATGTTAAGCCTAACAATTTTTTTTTAAAATAATCGTCGCTATCGTATCGTTAAAAAATTATTTTTAAATTATTTTATTGCTCACAAAACAAACAACCACTCATAATTAGAAAATTAAGTCTCGTTTAAATACTGGCCTCCCTTCAATGGTCAAGCCATTGATGCCAGCTAAAGCATGCAAAAATTTAACAAAAATAATATTAAAGTAGCCAAGACATAGCCAAATATTGTAGTGCCACATCACTAGCGGGCATTTGAAATTTGCTGACTAGAATGGTCAGTTAACCGATGTGACAGTTAATCGGGGGTCGGATAATCAATGCTCTACTGTAATAAATTTGAAAAAGAGCCACAAGTTGTAACAATACTGGTGTTTCAAAAATTTACTGTTTCTTGAATAGTTGAGGTAAGTAAATTTGTCAAAAATACACAATATTTTCAAAAGACAATCCAATGAATTATAAATCACCACCACTTCCCTCATGATAAACAACACAATATAACCTATCACCATTTTTCTCAATCAATTCATGCAAACAGAAAAAGCATATCAAAGCAATATGTAATTGAATTAAAATTATATAAATTTTATTACTATTATTTAAATTAGAAATAAATTGCTTCTTCCAGATAAATTCACAAATTAAATCTTCAATAAAAGAAAAAAAAAATGTCTGTTTCTAACATTGCAATATTTGTGTTGTATGTCAATATTTAAACTCCATTTTCATTATCCTAATTGCTAACAATAAATAATATGATATAAAATTTAAAAAACCTGCTAAGTTAAAGAAACCAAAGTATTTATTAGAACAATATTTGGAATAATTTAGTCAAGCATCACTCAGTAGGCCTAGAATCTACATAGAAACAATTCAATAAACAAACTTTTAAAAAATTGTATCTAAATTTATTTTTGAATTTGGAATATGGTACCAAGTTTTACAATTCTCTGATAAAGTTATATAATTAACTTTTTAAAAACAAACAATAGTGATACTAACAAAGTAAAAAATTACAAAATGCAGAAGATCACGAGCTCAATACAGCAGTGATCAAAAATATAAACATAGGATGAGTTCAATAAATAAACTAAATGCATCAGTACAGATCAATTAGTAAAAGAACCCAGTTTCAGTATACAGCTTACAGAAAAACAACCAGTTGCTTCCAGTGCCAGCACTAAGCACACTGTGTTTGAACTGAGTTTTCCATCCATGCAACAATATAGCTGCTTTTACCGATTTTGTTACAGAGTACAAATTTTCATTATCTTTGGATGAATTATCTCAGACAATTGAAAATGGTACAAATTATATAAATAATGTGTAATATTCTTTTTTGGAGTAACAACAAAACATTGTAAGAGAATTACTTTTCTAACATTTTCAAAGCACATAATTGTTTGGTAATTCTTTGCTATGCAATATTATATTATTTCATGTGCACCTGAAAGAACTGATAATCATACCAAAGTTTATTTACTGAGCTTGTCTATAAGAAGATTTTTAATATAAATTTTTTTATATGAATTTGTAAATGTATATTTGTAAATTATTTGATGTTTAAAACAAATTATTCAAATAAAGCAAAAATAAAAACAATGATTAAATGTTTGTTTTTACCATGGTTTAATTATAAACTCATGATATAATTCTAGCTAATTTGACAAAATGATAAGCACTTCTCATTTAAAATGAATTTTGTTTATGCAATATACAGCTTAATTACCACATTAAAACTGAATTAAAAAACAAATTAGTTGGCAAATTCTGAATTTCAAAAAAGTATCATTACAGCTGCAAATTTAACAAGAAAAAAAAAGGTTGCTTAGACAAAAAATTTTTTATATTATATTCTTATATGTAAATAATCAGAAAGAAAAAGTATATAGAAGAACTGCTAGGAAAAAACTTAACAGAAATTTGTATCTTATTGAAAGATGAACACAACCATAAAAGAAATATCCTATTACTAAAATGTGAAATTTTGAGAAGGGAATCTAATACAAGAAAGATTTCAAGAATTTCCTTCATTGCTTCTTATGTTATTTACAAAAACCTTAAAAGAAAGCTTAATTTAATTTCACAACCTATTAGTAGAAATTCAATTTGCAACATTTAACCAAATATAACAATTATGTAAATAGGTAATAAAAAATCTTTAAACTTTATGAATCAACAAGTAAGTAAATTATTGATATCAACTTCATAAACAAAAATCACACAAATATAACAAGATAATATAATTTTTGGGACAGATTTTCTTCTTTAGATAAAAAGGATATTGTGCATCAGCATGACAAATTGAATTCAAATAGCTATATTAAGTCCTTAATAGTTAAGCTTATATTTAGTGATTCTAACTTTAGTTCTCAGTAAGATAATGTTTGTTAAAAGATTTCTCACTCCATTAAACTGGATTAAGCAAATCAAAAAATAATACCATTTGGTTTATCATGTGCAAATGGTTTATCTAATGCAAATCTTGTGTTTCTGTATTGGTTTTCTTAAACACTTAATATAGCAAGCTATATGAAGTTCTTTCTAAAGCTCCATTTACTATTGAAGAATTACCTTTCTATAAATTATTTATATAAAAATGCATCAAAACTAAAATAAATTTAAAATGTTTATGAGGTGAACATTTTCAAGTTAAAAACTAGGTATTATCAATCAATTATTGTTCTGAATAAAGTAATTTTAGAAACAAAAAATCTGGCATCCACGAAAAACTGCAATTCAAAATAATTTTGAGTGAACAATTTGAAAATCCATTTAATTACTTACTTATTGACAAATTAGCAAGATTGAGGCCAAAGTTTTCAACACGAAAACATGAACATTGGATGTTCAGCACACCCTAGAAGTTTGACAATGGCGTTCGGAACATCAGCAGAATCATGCTCAACATTCCAAATGCCATTGTCAAATTTCTATGCTTACAGGATGGTGGCGCTGAACGTCTGACGTTCACATTTTTGCGTTAAAAACTTCGGCCGCAACCTCACTATTATGTCAATACATTAAAAACACTACAGACTAGTTAAAAAGAATAAATTCATCTTAACACAAACATCTGAACATAAAATCAAAATACTAATAATCACCACACGCATTTTGCCAAATAAATAAAAATTTAAACAAAGGCGTGGTGAGTATATTTTTTAAAACTTGTTAGTATACATTAAGACACAAAACTTTAATTAGTATATTAATAAAATTTTCATAGATGGGTTCTGATGTATTTTTATNCCATACAAGTAAGTATTTTTATTAAATGTCAAATCATTTCTTTATGACAGCATTTCTCAACCTGGGTTTGCGGTGATATTAAAAGAAAGTCACAAAACAATAATAAAATCATTATAAACTTATAAACAGTTTAATGTATTAAACTGTATAGAAATTAATGTATTTAGGAGGAAACTCCACCACATGCATTTTGTCAAATAAATCAAAATTTAAACAAAGGCGTGGTGAGTATATTTTTTAAAACTTACTTGTTAGTATACATTAAGACACAAAACTTTAATTAGTATATTAATAAAATTTTCATAGATGGGTTCTGATGTATTTTTATGTTATAAGAAATCAATGAACAGATCTGATTTGATTTGTTTTAAACTGGGTAAGTATATCTTAAATAATGGGGAAAAACCCATAAATATATAGTATCATGCAGTAACAAGATAAAAATACCTGAATGGAATATTTAAATTGCAAACATAAATTACAAAACATAAATTGCAATTATCATCTTTTTATGTATTTTCAGGCATTTGAATGTTTCTTATACATTTGGGCCATTCATCATCCTGCCAGTGGTTATATTCAAGCAATTAATGATCTTGTAATGCCATTTATTGTTGTCTTTTTACATGAAGTTGTTTCTCCAGGTAATAAATAAATATTATCTAATATATTAAGAACTAATTCAGGAGCATAGTTAAGTGAAATTGGATCAGTTTATATCTGATTCTGTTTAAATGGTCCACAGATTGATGACTTTGAGGATCACTGGTCTAGATCACTGGTAGATATCTGCATCAAAACTTCTTATTTATGTAAAGAAAAATATAACATTTTGCTAGAAAAAAATGTAAATTCTGTAGATTTACAGTATCAACATTTTCACTTTTCCTGCTAGGACTTTTTTAGTGTTTAAGTCTATAATTAGTTATTTGTTAATGTTTATCCTCTAGCAAAGCTAACAGTTACAAAACAGAATATTGTATATTCCTATAATGTATAAGCTCTATTACATTTGTGACTTATCTAAAACAACTGCTTTGAAATTGTCAGACAATAAAATTTAATCAGTTTTGTAAAGAAATTCATAATCAAGTAAAGGTATCAATGATAAATATTATGATGAAACAATCATCCATCATTTATCAATTCGATAACTATATTCAATAACTGTAATTCTAGTTTAATTGCAAGGTGCTTAAAGTATAGAACTGCACTAGATTCATTACCTACTCCATTATTAGAACAATAGCATCTATGACCACATAATTTTTATTTCAAATATAAATTTTAGAAATTTAACATTCATACTGAAGAAAAAATAAAAATGAGTAACAAAGACATTTACATTTTTATAAATTATCAACAATGTAGAAGGTAAAAAAATAACAGAAATTTAGATATCAATATTTATATTTGCTTTTCAATATTTTAAAACTGCATAAGATTAATGATACATAGTGAAATTTATGTATCATTAAAAAGTATTGATTTGTATTATTAAAACAAATTGCTAAGTAATTAAAATACTGAATGAAAAATAATCTTGAAAAATGAAAAATTCAGAAATAGGAGAAAGTATATAAGATACATATACATATATAATTTTTTCAAATCAAAACAGAATATTCTAATATCAAGCAATTTAAGGTAGATAATACCACATGAATTACTTTAAGTAAAATATTTTACTTACATAAATACAAAAACCATAGAAATACAGAATTGGCAAATACATTTAACTCAAGATTTGAGTCAAACATTATCACAATCTTTTGAATAAAATAGAAGCAAGACATGAAAACAAACATAATTCCACAATGAAAAAAATCATGCTAATATATTTCAAGAAATTCCAAATTTATGTAGTTCTGTTTACTAATCATTATCATTTTTTCTTTTCAAAATTATAAAATATATTTATTAGACTTTAAATATGTTTATATTATACTTTAAAAAATAAACTTTTATGGCACGATACTCGAAGACAAGAAGAAAACATTTGAAATGAGATATCAACCAAAGTTACTTCATAATTCAAAATTCATTATATTCTGCTGCTTATATTTGTATTAAGCCCTGCATAATATAAAAAAGTCAATGAACAAAACTCATTCATCTGTAAATAAAACTATACATATAAAGTTTTGCTTTGTTCCTAATTATGGATAAAAGAATCTTATTAGAAATTTGATAACATCCATAAAATGAGACCATCTCATATTCGTTATATATATTAAGAGAATATTATAATTACATTTTAAAACCATGGTAAATAACTGTTTCATTAGTAAACGATTTATTAATTATTAAAAAGTTTACTTTCAATGAAATCAATATTACATTATTAAATATTTACAGTAAATTTTTAATGGAAGTTAAGATTTTGAAGTGATCAAATCACTCGCAAAAGTTTATCAGTATTTAAAGCAAATGAAGTCCATGCCGACAGAGATTAGAAGAATATCTATGATCTGTGGCTCATTAACTTAGAAACATGTATCTATGTGAATGTAACATTTACAGCGATAACAACGGAGTAACGAACAATAAAACCGTGGTAAACGGAGAGACTATGGTAAAAATGTACACACATTTATATTATATATTTCACTTTAAAAGAAACTGGTTACAATTGACAGAGTCGGAAGTAACAAAATACAAAAATTTCAAACTTTCCACTAGCCTAACGTTCTGACGAAAATGTCAAACGCTGCTACACTACGTTACCTTTTTTTAGACGGGATTCATAAAATCAATTTCCATACAGAGACGTTGTAACCACACTACATAACCTTGGTGTAACAATTCCTATGGTAATCTCTTCATTTTCTTTGATAGTTTTTACGAAATCCTTCGCACAAAATCAAACGCTCGTATCGACTTTTGCATAGAGCCTGCGCGTTACTTATGAAACAAAACCGCTACAGCGCATGTGCAGATCAATTTGAATTTTCTATTCGTTCGTTTTAAGAGGATTATGACTTATTTATTGTTATATGTTGTTACTTGTCCGGTTATTGAACAATGATTAACAAATGAAATCTTTTGATTTATGTACGGATTTATATAAAACACTTAATAAATTAAATACTTTATTAATTGTTTTAACACTGTAAGAATTAAATAAAAAATATACACGTGTTAGATCTTTAGTCTGAAGCCATGTGATGGAAATTTGGGCTTAAAATGCTATTGTTCCAATAGGGAAGATGTACTTTTAATCTTCGATAATATATTCAATTGGTTTTATTAAGAATTCTTTGATGGTTATTATATTAAAAAAATATTCGTTTTAAATACATTTTACGAAATCGTAATAATAAATTGAAATTATATAAAGATAGTGACCAATCAATAACTTCAGATTTAATGATGATATACAGTATTTATATTATAAAATGTTATAGTTTTGAAACAAATATATTTTAGTTCCACGCCGAAATAATTAAATATTCTTTAGTCAAAATCGGATTTCAATATATTACAAACTACACTTTTGTAAAAGATATGGTATTCAAACTATATTAATTCCGAATCTGTAAAGATAAAAATAGAAATTAAATTTATTACGATTGCTTTGAAGTTTTCTAATAAATAAAATGTATTCAAATTTCTTCATCGATGCTGGCTGACTCTGTTGCTAGCATAGACCAAGCTATAGTCCGGCCGGCCGTAATGGATTAAACTACAGCCGGCGACATAACATTAATGGACCAGTCTCGTGTTGCTTAATTAATCGATTAAATTTTAATTTTAAAAAGGATTTATTGATAAATAAAACAAGACTTAATTTAAATTTAAAATGTTATCAATGCAAGAAACGTTTACTGTATTTGTAATGATATTGGAAAGAAAAGCAGACGTGAATATGCATTAAGTAATCCGACGTTTCATACATATTTTATCTATGACTATGGATTCTCCGTAATTCATAGCCGTATGTTTAATTTTGTATCCTTTTTTTTTTACATTTTCAATTTAGAGAAAGTAAAATGAATGTAAATTTTCGACTATAAATTCGTATCGTATATAATCGACTATTTTTATTTTATTCCATATACCTGTATATGGAATAAAATAAAAATTGTTTTCTGTTAAACTTTGTAGCATTATCTGTAAAGCCAGTATAATAACTCCTGATAATAGAAGATACGAATTTATTATGGAAAATTTACATTTTAGCAAGAAAAAAAACATTGAGGCAATTTAATTAAACTTCAAGTGCTTGTTCAGCATTTACCATAATGAAATATATATCGATTTATCCAGAACAGCAATTAATAATATTAAATGATAAAGTTTTCTCGTGTCGTGTAAAATGATAATAAAATTTTAATTAAGCACTGTACATAAAAGCATTCTTCAATTCTTGAAAGAATGCTTTTATGTCTATTACACAACAGCTTCTGCTTTAATATAAAGAAAATTGTAGACTTTAAAAGACGTCTTTGATGACGTGAAAAATCGAAAAAACCATTTTCGTTTCAGAACAAACGTCGGAATTATTTAATTTTTCCCCATTGAAATTTCTGTTTTATAGTAGAAGAGAACGTAGCACTTTGGCGATCTGCAAAAAACGATGCTTCCAGGTATGATCTTTTACAAAGAAGTTGGCGTTTATTTAGGTGTTAGGTTCATGAATAAAACACAAATAACCCCACGTGACCAACCCGATGATATAACACAAACCCTAGTAGTTTATTTACTAGGTCACTGCTTTAAGAACATGACCTTCAATTCTATGAATATTGTGAGAAAATGTTATAAAATAGATGCATGAACAAACACATTTAAGCATTTACGATTTGCTTTTTATTTGAGTTTCTGGAATCACCAACAAAACAGTTCATAAGCAATGCCTGACACCGCTTATTCTGAACGCCACGCCTGTCCTTCACGTATCATGAATCCATTATTTTCTGCTGTTAAAGTATTTGGAGTGGACTTGTTCCATCCGTGTTGTCATCTAAATGCCTCTTCAACAACTTTCCTTTGGTACACTCGAATTATAGAAGTATTTTTATGGTACATTGTCATTCATTTAACATTAATTACCGCAATGGATTCGATTTATTGTGGCGAAATCATTTATTTGTTCCACACTTACGGGAAACAAGCAATTTTTGTTATATTAATCATATCGATGTACGTCGCTTATCAATTCAGCGTCACGAAGAAAAGAAAATTATCGCTCCACTTTCCTGAAAGCAGTTACGGAGAAGAGGAGCAATTGGCAATGAAAATGGAAGTACACCTAATTAAAATACTCGTAATTTTTTATTTCACCATGATAACAATTTCTTTACTGTTATTCACTGTTTGTTATTCCCATTTACTAACAAGTTCAANATATGGTTTTGGTAACTATTAGTTAGATTTTTTTTTTACTTATTTATTAATAACTTTCAAAAACTATGAATTAGCAAACTAAAGGGAGTTAATGAAAAATTATTTTATTTCTTAAATGCTATTTAAGTATAGAGATGTAGATACTTTGTTCAAATCGTTCAAATTATATTGATAAATTTTCTACCACTGTCAAATTTGTTTTCGAAAGTCTACTTGGATTTTTATTCATTTTTAATTTCGAAGAGATCGGTCGTGTAACGTGTCATTTCAGCTTCCAACTCCTAACCGTTTGGGCTCTGCGCTGATTATTATTATTATTATTATTATTATTATCAACTCGTCTCGATTATATATATAGATTGTGGCTTTCTGTGACAAATGGCGAATATTCATTCTTAACCAAAAATAAAAAATGAACAAATAAATAAATAAATAACCGCTACTGAAATTGAATACAAATTATTCCTTGACATATAAATTCAAAGCCATTTGTAAAAAGATACTATACTCTAAATAATTTTACATTTATTTCGTTATTCTCGCGTTGTTTTCTCTTTTTAGTTTCACCGCGTATTTTTTTTTTATTTTATTAATTTGGGATTGTTGTAATGAGAGTGGCAAATATTGTCCGCGAGACATCGCCAAATTCAATGTAATAAATAAATAAATAAATAAAAATATAATATAATAAAATCAAAAATACCTTTTCTTTCTGAAGTATATTTTCAGACTTTTTAGTAAATATATAAAAAATTAAAATCTATGCACAAACCTATTTCCAATCCTCCATATCAATGGCGTCCAAACTTTTCAATTGACAGGCCAAATTGAGCATAACTCGTAAGTACAGGGGTCACAAATATTTTGTATATTCCATATATACAAATATAATTTTATCTATATATCTATATCTATCATTTCTATATCTATCATTTATAAGTGATGTGTCAAATATGTTCCTAGGCTACATTAACGTGTGCCGCAGGTTTAT